TTTTTGAGACAGAGCCTCAAGCTATCCCCCTGGGTAGAGTGCTGTGGTATCACAGCTCACAGCAACCTCCAACTCCTGGGCTCAAACGAGTCTCCTGCCTCAGCCTCCCAAGTAGTTAGGACCACAGGCACCCGTCACAACACCCAGCTATTTTTTGGTTGCAGCTGTTGTTGTTATTTGGTGGGCCTGGGCTGGATTCGAACTCGCCACCTTAGGTGTATATGGCTGGCGCATTAGCCACTTGAGCCACAGGTGCTGAGCCAGGAGATTCTCTTGTCTCAGCTTCCCGAGTAGCTGGGACGGCAGGTGCCCGCCACAATGCCTTGCTATTTTTTTGTTGCAGTTTGGCCAGGGCTGGGTTTGTACCCACCACCATCAGTATATGGGGCTGGCGCCCTACTCACTGAGTCACAGGTGCCACCATAAATATATAAATTTAAAGATTAGACTCAACGCCCATAGTACAGTGGTTAGGGTGCTGGCCACATGCACCGAAGCTGCCAGGTTCAAACCTGGCCTGGGCCGACTAAACAATAATAACTGCAAAAGAAAAATAGCCAGGCATTGTGGTGGGCACCTGTGGTCCCAGCTACTTGGGAGACTGAGGCAAGAGAATAGCTTAAGCCCAAGAGTTTGAGGTTGCTGTGAGCTGTGATGCGATGGCACTCTACTGAGGGACACATATTGAGACTCTTGTCTCCCCCCCAAATAAATAAATAAATTTAAAGATTAACTTTTTTCCAAAGAAAAAATACTGTAGTTGTGATTAGGTGGCTGTACATATAAAACAATTTGTTGAAAAAGTCAAACTGCAGGCATTATTTTGGCTGTATTGTATGATTTCTTAAAAAAATTGAGTATTTGGGCAGCGCCTGTGGCTCAAAGGAGTAGGACGCCAGCCTCATATGCCAGAGGTGGCAGGTTCAAACCTAGCCCCGGCCAAAAGCTGCAAAAAAAACAAAACCCCCCCCCAAAAACCCAAATTGAGTATTTATAGTTAACATATCAATTTAGATTCATTGATTATTGTTGTTATTAGTATTTTGAATCAGAGTCTCACTTTGTCTCTCTTGGTAAAGTGCTGTGGCATCACAGTCACAGTAACCTCCAACTTTTGGGCTCAAGTGATTCTCTTGCTTCAGCCTCCCAAATAGCTGGGACTACAGGCACCCACCACAACGCCTGGCTATTTTTATTTTATTTTATTTTATTTTTGAGACAGAGCCTCAAGCTATCCCCCTGGGTAGAGTGCCATGGCATCACGCTCACAGCAACCTACAACTCCTGGGCTCAAGCGAGTCTCCTGCCTC